GATGGATGGATGGATGGATGGATGGATGGATGGATGGATGGATGGATTTATTAACTGGAATTATTTGCTTTGAGAAAACATTTTTCAGAGTGTAATCTATTGCTCTCTTTGACCATGTTCATTTTGGATTTTCAAATAGATATTTCTTCAGAGACATGTTTGGGAACAATTTTATTCAGTGCATGCTTTATGCAGTTCAGAAGGGTTTGGTTAACTTGGCAATGAACCTCTTATGAGTAGACAAAAAACAGAGGGGAAGGAGAACATTAAGGAAAATGTTCTTGCACAAGAACCATAGAGTCCAAAGTTATAAATAATAGCTTTGGAATAATTTACCATTGTGTAATATATATATAGTAAAAGAACTATGTAAAAGCACAGTAATGTATCGTGAGAAGAACAGACTTTTTAGGATCCAAAATAAATAGCCTGTGATTGTCCTGCCAGAGAATTCAGCTTTGCATGAACCAGCTTTGCAACCAGTTTTGCATGAAGAACTATTTAAATATGTTTTGAAATTCAGAACAGGACTTGGCAGGAAAATCACAGCCTATTCATTTTGGATCCTAAATAGTCCGTCCTTATCACCATACATTGCGCACATTATGGTGCTTTTACAAAATTCTTCTACTATTTTCTTTATATTTTCACAACTATACAACCTCCACAATAGTAAATTATTCCAAAGCGGTTATTTAAAAGTTCTGACTCTTTAAAGTCTCCCTTTAGGGAATGAACAAAGTATTTTCTATTCTATTGTATTCTATGACCCCCATATCATTTTGTTTTCTTACCTGACTTTCAATATTTTTCATGTGTTTGCTCTGAAGATCATGTGTTTGAAAAAATACTCTATCCAGACCAAAATCAAGAGGCTCTGCAGCCAGCGAGTGATATTCTGAGGATTGTCACTTGAGATCTGTACAAGTACCTGGGACACGCCAAGGTGTGTAGCAAGGTCTTCATTTGTAAGCATTTGTAATGCTTTTTCAACTAACAATTGTTCTGTATAATTTTATATTCAAAGTTCTTTAACAAACTCTTGAAGACCCAGCTCTTCAGAGATCATCTCCTACTCTAACCCTGTACCTCCCCACCTCCTCTGGTACTCTGTCTGTACTATCTCAACACTGTCACCCTGCTGCCTCTAACACAGTCTGAGTAGGGATTTCTGCCTACCGAGTTTATTTTCATTTTTTATTTTAACTTTAATGTTGTATCTGCCTTGTAAGTTGCCCAGGTTTAAGCATCTGCTAGATGCAGAAACACAAGATTACAAACTACGGAATTCAAATTGAGAATTTTAAAGGTGACTTTATTTACTGTTGTAAGAATATTTTAAAAAATGTACCTTGATGTTAAAAATCTTGGGAAAAAATTTGGAAGGAACGTTTATGATTTTTGAAAGACAAGAATCACAATTCTTTCAAGTTTTGAGGATTTCTACTGTTATTTTAGGAAATGACTTAAAGGTTGACAGACAATTTGGCCACAGCCATACCCAAAGGCGAAGTTTCCATACATTTTTCAACTTGAGATACTGACCTCTGTCTCGTCCATTAAGGATAGTTTATTCATTCAAACAGCGCATCTTCCCTTTGAGCTTTGCTTTAACATTTTGAGGAATTCTTGATCATATGCAGTTACTGACACAAAAATGGCAAATATGTTTGAGTCACAACATACAAGTAGAAGCAAATCAAATGGAGTTACATCATGTGGAGTTTTTCCAAAAGCGAGAAAAGCTGCCATAAAAAGATGTAATGACGCAATATTAAAAAATTTTGTTGAAGAAAAAGGGTACTCAAACAGGATCCACTCAGTTGTCTCCATTAGTTTTTAAATGCCACCTGTGCCCTGCCTGCCATCTGCAAAAAGTAAAGATGGGATGAGATTCCTTCTGTCCGGGCTGAATTACGTCTCTGGCATGATGGCGGAAAAGTCTCCTGTCAACCTACAGTCCAGAATATGCTTATGTGGACACAAAAAGTGGATGGATGGATGGATGGATGGATGGATGGATGGATGGATGGATGGATGG